TACCGCCGTAGCCGCAGTTGCAAATCACCACCGTAGCTCTTGCAATTGGTTAGGCACGTAACTAACATGAAATTTCTTTAATGTTAATATTACCAAGTTTTAATTTTATTTTATAATTATCAAATAAACAAAAAAAAAATTAAGATAAATTACTAATAGGTCCTACTTTTTACCCATTAAGTCTTATAAATTTATCAGTCTTGTAGGTGAATAAATCTAGTTAATAGAACTATTGATAAGTGACTAAAAAAATTATTAACTAACTATAACAGTTCAAATAATTATTTTATAAAATTATGAATTTAAAATGTTAAATTACTTTAATGTTAATACTAATTATTTTTAAATATAATTATTATTTATGGATTAGAATCATAAAATTCCCTAAATTTATTTTTGCATTTAGAATATTAATTAAATTTTAATAAAGGTAAAATTACAAACATAAATAATAAAAATTAAAAAAAATTGTATAAATTAAGACCAATTTTGTTTCAAATTCAAATTTCTTCTCAATATTTGAAACAAACCCTCCAAAATTTTATTTGTGAAGTTCCCTCCTAAAATTTGGCCTAAATTTCTACTCCCTCCCAAACAAAAACAAAAAAAACAAGAGCAAAAACTAGCTGGAGAGAGAGATACGCTCGAGAGAGAAAGAGCGAAGACGAATAAGAGAACATGAAGAGAAGATGGAGGGAAGAGTAGTCATTCGGAGCGACAACTTTGCTTGCGACGACCATTGTTGGCCATCGTTGCTCATCGTTGTCGCACATCGCCATCGCCACCGCCGCTGTTGTAGGTTTTTTTTTTCTCCCTCTCTCTCTGTCGATCTCTCTCTTCTTTGTTAATCTCCGTCTCTCTCTCTCTCTGTCGATCTCCGTCGATCTCGGTCTGTCTCTCTGTACCGATCTCTCTCTGTGGATCGTCCTCCCAAACGCCTCTTCTCTCTTCGAAATTCTAGAGAGAGAAACACCAAGCCCTCCCAAATGCCTTTTCTCTCACACATTGCCATTATTTGAACAGCTCAAATACAATTTGATTCAATTTTAGGAGCTCTTCGCAATTTTTGTTCCTCTCTCTCTCTACCCGAAAGCATCAACAGATCTAGACTTGGATAACTTCTTGGCTCCAATTCGATTAGGTTTGATATTTTCTTCTCTATTTTAGATTTGGGTTTGCTTCAATTCTGAATTGTGGTGATTGATCGATTGTTTCAGATCTGGGTTTGATTTGTTCTTGGGTTTTTGGATCTCAATTTTGTTGTTTTAACACAGATTGAGCTCAGACTTAGCTATATTAATAATTTATGTGATCATTTTCATTCATTGTTTTTCTCATTTTTTTTGTTTGATATGTTAATATGGGAATTAGATTTGTTAATTACTTGACTTACTGAGAATGTGTTAAATGGTTATGAGAATATTTTACAACAGCATCCAGATAACTAATTTTAGATTTTCCATCATTTCAGTGACCGAGTAACACTTGGCTGTGCACTTGATCTTCCCATGTACTTTTATAGCGATCCTGGTTCTTCCTTCTTTGATTGTTTTATCCGGACTTAGGTTCCATGGAGTTGGTTATTGTATATGTCTTGTTGTCATCCTTTAATTCCATATATTTTGGTTTAGGATGTGTTGGGCGTGTTTCGAACAAGTTGGTTGAGCCTTGGTTCCATTTCTTGTTGCCCAGTTTTTTGGTGGTCTGCTCGAGCGGATCTCTTCGCGCTCGAGTGGATTTTGCACACTTTCAGCATTTTGTGCCTCTGCAAAAGTACTGCAGGTTTGTTCTTCATGCTCGAGTAGAGTTCCTTACACTCGAGCGGGTCGTGCTCGAGCGGACCTTTTGCGCTGGAGTGGGTGTTCAATGTCTGTAAAAATACTGGAAGAGGGTAATCTATGCTCGAGCGGGTGGAGTTTGCAGTTGTGTCTTGGCGCTCGAGCGGGTATCTTTGCGCTCGAGCAGGTCCAGTTTTTGTGTTTGATGCTCGAGCGTGCTATTCTCCGCTCGAGCGGGTCATACGTATATCAGTTGGCAGCTGGGTCTTTTTAGATCACTTTTTCAACTCTCACTCTCTCTCTCTTACTTTTCAAAACCTCCATTTGAGAGCTTCTCTCACTACATTTCACCTTCTCTCTAGGGTTTGATCTAGTAGGAGTGATCTTCTATCCTTGGGCCTTAGTAAAAAATGTGGAGCTTGGTGAGAGCTACCTTTTGATCCGAAAATTTCTTGGTTTGGAGCACTTCGAGTTTTCTTCATCTTCTCCATTTGGTCCCTCCATTTGAGGTAGGGATAACTACTCATCTTTATGGTCTTTGACCTAAACTTGTGCTCATATTGATTAAATGTTAATTTGGGAAATTTTGAGTGTTAGGGTTTCAAAAGTTATAAAGAGGGGTTTTGTGATTTTAATCCATAAACATGTATTTTGGGTCTTAAAGAGAGATTATTGATGTTGTTGTTGATATTTGAGCCTTTAGGTCAACATTGAGAAAGAGGGAGGAAAACCCTAGTTTTGTTATGAATTAATTTATATAATTAATTTGGGAATGTTATGGAAATATGAAATTGAGTTGAAAATAATGAAATTGACTCATTATGAAGTAGAATGGTGGAGTTGAATTTAATAATCACTCATCTTGAGAATTGTTGATAATTTATTTGTTGATGTATTTATTATCTGTTTAGAAATAATTTCCTTAGGCTACCGGTGGAGGGTAGTCTTGATTGTTGTAGACAATGCATGATGATTAGGTGAATTAAAACTAATCAATTGAATATGTCATTGAATATGACGGTTGGAATAATACATCAAATTTTTGTATTGATTGAACATGTATATGATAAACGTTTATATACATTGTATTGTGTGGGAGGAGATAGGGGATGTACTCCATGGTTTAGGAGGAGATAGGGGATGGACTCCTAAACTGGATATTATTTGGGATGTAACGCCCTCAAAATAAACCCATAAATCATACATTATTGACATGCTTAAACATAAGAGAATGAAGCATAATTACATTTCATCAGAGTATTCATTACAAAATGTATTACATGTTGACCACAAAAGTAAATGCCCTATAGGCTTACAACTTTCCAAGTCAACACTTGGTTACAAAAAGAGCGAGTACTAACTCAAAACAGATAATAAGCCCTTGGGTTGATATACATGTAATACAAAAGGTAATCACAAAAGATGTCCCAGCCACTAAGCCTCTCAAGCTACGTCCTTGGAGGTGGCATGCTACATGTACCTAAAAATGATGTCCCGTATAGGGTGAGCCAACGCCCAGTAGAGATATGCTAAACATAATATGAGCAATAACTAAAACATTAGTATTTGATAAATATTTTACTCACATAAATCAATTCACAACCCATTTCAATTACATGACCATTGTGTCCATGTTTCATTTCATTTTCCATTTCTTATCCAATTTCTCAATTCATAATCCTGGCTCAGAACCTGGCCATATACTTTAAATGAGATTGTATCTCATATTAAAACATTATCCTTATCCACAATTCATTTTCAAATGAGATAACACTCATATGAAAACACTTCCACAATTCAGAAGAGATACACACTTTTGCTGTATCAATATCGCATTAACACTTCCATACTTCATAAATGATACACAGATTCGCTGTATCAATACGTCAAAAGATACACATATTTGCTGTATCCATGGAGTCCATCCCCTATCTCCTCCCAATCAATATTCGGTTTAGGAGTCCATCCCCTATCTTCCCCTAAACCGTGGAGTACATCTCCTATCTCTTCCTACACAACACAATGTATATAAACGCATATCATATACATAATCAATCAATACATAAACTTGATGTATTCTATCAATTGTCATATTTGATGACATATTCAATTGATTAGTTTTAGTTCGCCTAATCATCATGCATTGTCTACAATAATCAAGACTATCCACCACCGATAGCCCAAAACAGTTATTTCTAAACAGATAATAAATGCCTTAACAGATATATATAATTTCAACATTTTCAAAGTGAGCAGTTAATAAATCCAACTCCACCATTCCATCTCATAATGAGCCAATTTCATTATTTCCAACTCAATTTCACATTTCCATAACAATTGTCATTAATTACACTAATGACCCAAATATACCCAAACATGGCATTTTCCCCATTTTTCTCAATATTGACCCAAAGGATCAAATATTATCAACAACATCAATAACCTCCTTTTTAGACCCAAGACACATATGCTTGAATCAAAAGAGCAAAAACCCCTCTTTCCAATATAACACATTACAAACCCTAACTTCCCAAATCAAACCATTTATACAAAAAGCTCAACATTTAGGTTAAAGCTCACAAAGATGAGTAGGAATCCCTACCTCAATAGATGAGACCCAAAGAAGAAGATGAAGAATTTCGAGATGCTCCAAAACCCAAGATTTTCGGATCAAAAGATAACCCACACCAAGATCAACACTTTTTACAAAGGCCCAAAGGTGGGAGGTCACTAGGGCTAGATGATTTCTTAGAGAGAAGGTAAGGTTTTAGAGAGGGAAGCTCTCTAATGGTGGTTTTCGAAAATTAAGAGAGAGAAAGGATGTTGAAAAGTGATCCAAAAAGTGAAATCCCGAAGTGATATAAAAGTCTTCCCGCTCGAGCATCAGACACAGACTCACGCTTGAGCGTCAAAACGCCCGCTGGAGCGTGGGATGCACACTCTCAGAAGTTTTGTAGACGATGGTCCCCGCTCGAGTGTCAAATTCCCCGCTCAAGCAGAGGAACAAAATCAAAGGGTCACCCTCGAGTGTCAAAACTCCCGCTCGAGCGTACGAAGACCTGAAGGGAAAAATACTAGGAGATGGAAATTCACGCTCGAGCGTCAAAACGTCCGCTCGAGCGGAGAAGCAACAACAAAGGGCCCGCTTGTGCGTGAAAAGCCCCGCTCGAGCGTGAAGGCCAAATTCTGGGCATCAACTTTTGGTTTTAAATCATAACCAACCTGTTTCAAACCTGTCCAACACAACCCAAGACTCAAATACAAAGAGTAAGGGAAGGGAATGAGAATGAGACAACAACACAACCACGGAACCAAGTCCGGAATACAATTTCTGGACAGGCCCATGCTACCACGGCCCAACTATGTTCGGCCCAAATTTGCCCAGCCATTACCACGGCCCAATCTAGATCATAAATCTCCCTCTCAAAAGGATACCCAAATCTTAATTATAACAAAAACATATGCATTGGAACTTCTATTTAATTACACTACCAAAGTTGATCTTTGACTACAAAGTGCCTTGTGCCTATCTTATGCACTAGTCCTGACACGTCACCTGAAAGTAGTTAACAACTATAAGCATATGGTAGAGTGAGAAATATTATACTTGAAGCATAAAGGGTATGAAAATCACCATAGATAATTATTTAGGCTAAACAGAGATTTGTTTGATAGTAAAATACAGAGTATATAATACGAAAATCATTTTGAATAACTGACATATAATACAGAGATTATATAAACAAAATAATCATAGCCGTGGTACAAAAAAGAACAAATGTATGGACTCAAGATGTGGCTTGTACGAATTTTAGAGGTGGCTTCCACAATAATGTATCACTTAGCTCCGCACAACACTTTGCTCCATACTAGAGAACAGAACAGAACAGATGTATGGACTCAAGAGGTAACTCGTACGAATTTTAAAAGTGGCTCCCACAATAGTGTAGTACTTAGCTCCGCACAGTACTTTGCTCTATACCAGATATCAGAGGGGTTAGTGGATCCATGACAATAGAGGGTCCATACAAGGCCTCAAATGGTGCCATACCGATACTAGACTGGAAACTGTTGTTGTAGGCAAACTCCACTAATGGCAAGTGCCTCTCCCACGACCCACTAAAGTCTAGAACACAACCCCGAAGCATATCCTCAAGGATCTGAATAGTACGCTCGGACTGCCCGTCAGTCTGAGGATGGTAAGCCGTGCTAAAGGTCAACTTAGTGCCTAAGGCACTCTGCAAACTCTGCCACAACCTGGCAGTAAAACGAGGATCTCTATCTGAGACGATCGTCACTGGAACCCCGTGTAACCTCACTATGTCCCGAATGTACAAGTCGGCAAGGTGATCGACTGAATCTCTCACGCGCATAGGAATGAAGTGCGCCAACTTAGTCAACCGGTCTACAACCACCCAAATAGCATCACTACCCCGCTGAGTCCTCTGAAGACCCACAACGAAGTCCATAGTGACATGCTCCCACTTCCATTCGGCAATAGGCAAGGGTTGTAACAAACCTGTTGGCCTCTGATGCTCGGCCTTCACTTGTTGACAAGTAAGGCACTTCAATATGAAAACTGTCACATCTCTCTTCATACCCCGCCACCAAAACTGGCAATCCAAATCACGATACATCTTGGTGCCTCTCAGATGCAGCGTAAGGCGTGAATAGTGAAACTCTTGGAGTACCTCCTCTCGGCAAGACTCCGGCACAAACAAACAGTCTCGGTATCTCATACACTGGTCGGGATACACAGACAAACCCTTCTCAGCCTTTCCACTGGAGATCTTCTCCCGGAGGGATTCTACCTCAAGGTCACCTCTCTGTGCCTCTAACACTCGACTCACAAGTGTAGGTTGCGTAATAACAGAAAACAAGACTGCAGCCTCGGCAGATTCACCCAAAAGCAAATCAAACTCACCAAGTGCACCCAACATCTCCTACTCCCGGATGGCTATACAAGCTACATCACTAATGGATTTCCTACTAAAGGCATCAGCCACAACATTGGCCTTTCCCAAATAATAGTGCAACTCAAAATCATAGTCCTCAATGAACTCCATCCACCTCCTCTACCTCAAATTCAAGTCTCTCTGTGTAAACAGATACCTCAGACTCTTATGATCCGATAATATCTCGAACCTCTCACCGTAAAGGTAGTGCCTCTAAATCTTTAAGGCAAAAATCATAGCTGCTAACTCTAGGTCATGTATAGGGTAATTCCTCTCATGTATTTTCAACTGACGTGAGCCATAGGCTACCACTATCCCTCCTTGCATTAACACACAACCCAAACCCTCACATGAGGCATCACAATAGACCGCATAACCCAAACCTCTTTCCGGAATAATCAAAACCGGAGCGGTGGTCAATCTAACCTTCAACCCTTGGAACGACTTTTCACAAGTCTCACTCTATACAAATTTGACCCCTTTCCGTGTCAATCTAGTCAACGGCGAAGCTAGCCTGGAAAAATCTTTCACAAACCGGCGGTAATACCCAGCTAATTCCAGAAAACTACGGATTTCAAAAACACTCTTAGGCTGTGCCCAATCTTGCACTGCCTCTATCTTGGATGTATCAACAGACACCCCTTTCCCGGAAACTACAAGGCCTAAGAATTTGAGCTCCCTTAGCCAGAAATCACACTTCCCAAACTTGGTATATAGCCTATGGGCTCTAAGCAACTCAAGCAGCACTCTCAAGTATTCCTCGTGCTCCTCCTCCGAAGGAGAATAAATCCGAATGTCGTCCACGAAAACGACCACAAAATGATCTAAGAATTCCTGGAATATCCGGTTCATCAAGTCCATAAACACTGCCAGTGCATTGGTGAGCCCAAATGGCATCACCAGAAACTCATAATGGCCATACCGCGTACGGAATGCCGTCTTAGGAATATCCTCCTCTCTGACCCTCAACTAGTGGTAACCCGATCTCAAATCTATCTTAGAGAAACAACGGGAACCCTTCAACTGGTCAAACAAATCATCTATACGGGGCATAGGGTACTTATTCTTAATCGTAGCCCGATTCAACTTCCTGTAGTCAATACAAAGTCTCAAGGCACCATCTTTCTTTTTAGCAAAGAGGGCTGGTGCTCCCCATAGCGAAATAGTAGGGTGAATAAAACCCATATCTAGCAACTCCTGGAGCTGAATCTTCAACTCACTCAACTCGGCTGGGGCAAAACGATATGGTGCCATAGAAATCGGTGCCGTGCCGAACACTAAATCAATAAAGAACTCGATCACTCGATGAGGTGGCAAATTAACAAGGTTCTCAGGAAAAACATCCGAATACTCGCAAACCACTCTCGACAACTCAACCCCGGTCTCATCACACTCACTACTCGTAAGGCTAGCGAGAAGACCACTAAGCTCACTCCGCCCTCGCGGATCATACACCGGTGGCAGCACACTACCAACCCGATCCCCCAAGAAATAAAAACAATCCCCGCTCGGGGTACATACTGTGACCCTCTGGCCGTAACAGTCGATAACAGCTCGGTATGACGATAGCCAGTCCATATCCAAAATAACATCAAAATCCGACATAGCCATAACTACAAAAGGAAATGGAAGCCGGCGGTCGGCGACCTCTATATCACAGCCCCGACACCCTTGTTTCAAAATCAATTCACCCCCAACAGGTGATACTACATAAATAGGAGATGCTAACTGTGCCAACTCCAAACCCAAAACAGATACAAATGCAGCAGATATAAAAGAATGGGATGCATCCGTATCAATCAACACATTGGCAACCGAGTTGCAAAACAAAAAGGTACCTCTCACAACAAATGGAGTCGGTACTAGGTCCTGCGCGGTAACAGCATACACACACCCTGAAGGCCCCTGATCTACCTACTTACCTCTCGGAGCAAAAGACTGCTGCACAGACTGGGACGATGAAGCCCCCTGATTGGCCCTCGAGGCCTAAACTGACTGAGCTGGCTGAAAACTCTGCCTCTGTCCAGAAGTGCCACTCAACTGCAGGCAAAACCTCTTCAGGTGCCCCGCCTAATCGCACTGCTAACAAGAGAGCGACTGGCTTCTACCCTGACTCTGACTCTGAGGTCGAGCCGAAGATGAAGCTGCTCTCTGACCTCCTCCCCTCTATGGGCAAGCTGGAGACTTGTGGCCCAGCTGACCACACTTGTAACAGGTGACGTCTCCTTGATTGTCTCTCCCAGAGCCTGCACTCGGCACTGGAAAGGTTGACCTCACAAAAACACCTTTAGACTGCTGAGGGTTAGCACCTCTCTGCCTCCTATTGTCCCCCTGACCATCCTGACTCCTCTTGAAGCCTCTTTGCCTCTCCTCCTCCTGCATCATAATCTCCATATGGGCTGCAACATTTACGAGGCGCCCATACTCCCGGGTCACAGAACCCTCAACTCTCATCTTCAGGCCATGCCTCAACTTCTTCTCAAACTCCAGACAAGGACGTTCTTCAGACGCCACTAGCTCCGATGCAAACCTGAACAAACTAGTAAATGCGGCCTCAAACTCGGCCACTGAAGAACTCAGCTGCTTAAGTTGGCAGAGCTGATCTCTCAACTTCTCCCTGACAGCGGGAGACAGAAACTTCTCCTGGAATTCACCCATGAAGTCCTCCCAAGTACCACCAATACGGCCCCTCATGAACTTCCACCACTGCCCTGCATTCCCTTTAAGCTGGAAAGATGCCAAGGTCACCTTCAATACTCCGTCTTCGATGCCAAGCATTTCAAACATCTTCGTTATCTGCTCCAGTCACTCATTAGCCTTAAGTGGCTCTTTCGGATCCCCAACAAACTCATCCGGATTAGACCGGAAGAACTCCCTCTTCAGAAAGGAAGGCCCTGCCTCAGCAACATGGGCCTGAACCTGATTCTTAGCTCTGAGAATGCCCAAGGACTCCCTCAAAGCTCCTACCATCTCGCGGGCTAAGGCACCCATGGCCTGCTGACCTACTGGCTCGGCCACATTGGCCTGACGAACACCCTCCTGCTGCGCCGGAATGTCATCCGGTATAGGCATCTCCTGCCTCCTAGGCCTACCTCGCCTACCACCACGTCCTGGTCCTGACATCCTAATAAAGGTAACAAAGAACATTAGCACATTCACAAATGTGCCGAAGCTACAACTCTCGCGTCCTAATACATGGACAACAGTAATTCATTCCACAGAAGCACATAATCACATAAGCACCTGCGAATTTCATTTCCAGATAATGATAGTCCCGAGGCATTACTAGAGTTCCGGTCAGAAACAACATTGATCAAGTGCTTTTCTAACAAGACTCACAGAAACCCAAGGATCCAATCAACATCCTAGAAATTAAATCCCATACCCAAGTAATCACATAAGCATGTTATCGCATAATCACATAACATTACATCTAAGTCTCTAACAAGCGAGACAAACCCATTGTGATACTAATCACTTCCCACATACCCAAAGTATTCAAACCCGGTACGCTCTGATACCAAGTTGTAACGCCCTCAAAATAAACCCATAAATCATACATTATTGACATGCTTAAACATAAGAGAATGAAGCATAATTACATTTTATCAGATTATTCATTACAAAATGTATTACATGTTGACCACAAAAGTAAATGCCCTATAGGCTTACAACTTTCGAAGTCAACACTTGGTTACAAAAAGAGTGAGTACTAACTCAAAACAGATAGTAAGCCCTTGGCTTGATATATACGTAATACAAAAGGTAATCACAAAAGATGTCCCAGTCACTAAGCCTCTTAAGCTACGTCCTTGGAGGTGGCATGCTACCTGTACTTGAAAATGATGTCCCATATACGGTGAGCCAACGCTCAGTAGAGATATGCTAAACATAATATGAGCAATAACTAAAACATTAGCATTTGATAAATATTTAACTCACATAAATCAATTCACAACCCATTTCAATTACATGACCATTGTGTCCATGTTTCATTTCATTTTCCATTTCTTATCCAATTTCTCAATTCATAATCCTGACTCAGAACCTGGCCATATACTTTAAACGAGATTGTATCTCATATTAAAACATTATCCTTATCCACAATTCATTTTCAAATGAGATAACACTCATATAAAAACACTTCCACAATTCACAAGAGATACACACTTTTGCTGTATCAATATCACATTAACACTTCCATACTTTATAAATGATACACAGATTTGCTGTATCAATACGTCAAAAGATACACATATTTGCTGTATCCATGGAGTCCATCCCCTATCTCCTCCCAATCAATATTCGGTTTAGGAGTCCATCACCTATCTTCCCCTAAACCGTGGAGTACATCCCCTATCTCCTCACACACAACACAATGTATATAAACACATATCATATACATAATCAATCAATACATAAACTTGATGTATTCTATCAATTGTCATATTCGATGACATTTTTAATTGATTAGTTTTAGTTCGCCTAATCATCATGCATTGTCTACAGCAATCAAGACTATCCTCCACCGATAGCCCAAAACAGTTATTTCGAAACAGATAATAAATGCCTCAACAGATATATATAATGTCAATATTTTCAAAGTGAGCGGTTAATAAATCTAACTCCACCATTCCATCTCATAATGAGCCAATTTCATTATTTCCAACTCAATTTCACATTTCCATAACAATTGTCATTAATTACACTAATGACCCAAATATACCCAAACACGGCATTTTCCTCCCTTTTTCTCGATATTGACCCAAAGGTTCAAATATTATCAACAACATCAATAACCTCCTTTTTAGACCCAAGACACATATGTTTGAATCAAAAGAGCAAAAACCCCTCTTTTCAATATAACACATTACAAACCCTAACTTCTCAAATCAAACCATTTATACAAAAAGCTCAACATTTAGGTTAAAGCTCACAAAGATGAGTAGGAATCCCTACCTCAATAGATGAGACCCAAAGAAGAAGATGAAGAATTTCGAGATGCTCCAAAACCCAAGATTTTCGGATCAAAAGATAACCCACACCAAGATCAACACTTTTTACAAAGGCCCAAAGGTGGGAGGTCACTAGGGCTAGATGATTTCTTAGAGAGAAGGTAAGGTTTTAGAGAGAGAAGCTCTCTGATGGTGGTTTTCGAAAATCAAGAGAGAGAAAGGATGTTGAAAAGTGATCCAAAAAGTGAAATCCCGAAGTGATATAAAAGTCTCCCCGCTCGAGCGTGGAAACCCCCGTTCAAGCATTTGACATAGACTCACGCTCGAGCATCAAAACGCCCGCTCGAGCGTCGGATGCACACTCACAGAAGTTCTGTAGGCGATGGTCTTCGCTCAAACGTCAAACTCCCTGCTTGAGCAGAGGAACAAAATCAAAGGGTCACGCTCGAGCGTCAAAACTCCGGCTTGAGCGTACGAAGACCTGCAGAGAAAATACTAGAAGATAGAAATTCACGCTCAAGTGTCAAAACACCCGCTCGAGCGGAGAAGCAACAACAAAGGGCCCGCTCGAGCGTCAAAATCCCCGCTCGAGCGTGAAGGCCAAATTCTAGGCATCAGCTTTTGGTTCCAAAGCACAACCAACTTATTTAAAACCTGCCCAACATAACCCAAGACTCAAATACAAAGAGTAAGGGAAGGGAATGAGAATGAGACAACAACACAACCACGGAACCAAGTCCGGAATACAATATACAAAGGAAGGAAAAATTGGGATCGCTATATGGGAGGAGATAGGGGATGGACTCCATTGATACAACAAATCTGTGTATCATATATGAAGTGTGGAAGTGTTTTATTATACATTGATAGAGCAAATCTGTGTATCATATATGAAGTATGAAAGTGTTTTATTTGAGACTGATACAACAAATCTGTATCATTTGTGAAGTAAGGAAATGTTTAATATGAGTTGTTATCTCATTTGAAATTGAAAGTATTGTTGATATGAGTCGTTATCTCATTTGAAATTGAAATGTGGGTAAAGGAAAGTGAAATGAAACATGGACATATTTGTCATGGAATTAAATGTGTTATAAGTTGGTTTATATGAGTTAAACATTTATCAAATGTTAATGTTTTAGTTATTGCTCATATTATGTTTAGCATATCTCTATTGGGCATTGGCTCACCCTATATGGGACATCATTTTCAGGTACAGGTGTTATGCCACCTCCAAGGACGTAGCTTGGGAGGCTTGAGGCTGTTAGACCCTTTTTTGTTGTTTTTGTTGTATTACATGTATATCAAGCCAAGAGCTTATGTTGTGTAGAGTTAGTACTCTAATTTTTTGTAACCAAGTGTTGACTTGGAAAGTTGTAAGCCTACAGGGCATTTACTTTTGTTGTCAACATGTAATACCTTTGTAAGAATACTCTGATGATTATGATATGAAATCTCTTTTCCTTATTGTGAATGTATGATATTATGGGTTTATTTTGAGGGCGTTACAACTTTGGTGATGCTGGTAGTCGAGAGGTATAGATGATCTTGCTCAAACTTAAATATGCTTTGTGCAGGTTCATTGTCTGACATGTTGCTTGTATTCGTGGCCACCAGGTGCTCCATAAAGTTGGTGTTGAAAGAGCGTGTGCAGCGGCAATAACTTTAGATACCCCCGGTGCAAACTATAGAACAGTGTGGGCTTTGAGCAAGTATTTCCCTAACGTCAAGACATTTGTTCGTGCTCATGATGTTGATCATGGCCTCAATTTGGAAAAGGCAGGAGCAATAGCGGTACATTTTTGTTGCTGTTTCCATTAGTTATTTCACTCTTCCTAATTACCTTTACAGGTTAATCTTACAATTTTATTTTAGGATTATGTTTTAGGAGCTCATTATTCTTGTTTGATTTGTGTATAAATCTTTAATCAAGACTAATATATCTTTCATTATCTATATAAAGATCAAATATTTGTTCAAATTACATCATATCTTGAGTTTTAGTTGAAACACTTACAGGTTGTCCCCGAGACCTTCGAACCTAGTCTCCAACTAGCTGTTGCTATTCTTGCACAGGTAAAAAATAGTATCGATGACACTGAATTGTATAAGATTTTTCACTGCATGAGCTTTGTATGTTGTTTGTAATTAGTACATACTCCGTTAGTTATATTGCCGAATACTATTTTCTTTTTTCTGCTGAGCATTGAAAATTGGTTGTATGCATGTAGTGTGGAGTCCGATTGTAACAAATCATAAGGAAGCTGAATATTATTTTCATTGAATTTGTCACTCACCATGCTATGCTAGTATGCAATGTAATTGATCAATTTTTGGATTAACATTCCATAAAATCATTGTAAGATTAATCTCTTTTTGCTACAATCTTAATGATTACAGTGCATCTTATTGGATATTTTAATTTGAATTAGTGACTTCCTACATGCTTACCTTAAGTCACAATTCAACTATTTGTGTACACCGTCTTCATTGTCGAGC